GCCAAAAGTTGTTTGTATTGCAATTCTACACAACATTTTTTTTTTCAGATTTTTTTGGATTTGATTTTTTTTTTTTTTTTTTTTTTTTTTTGCGCTGAGGCTGCCCGGGGCCATGCCCGGGGGTCATGCCCGGCCGGTCACCCGGTCGCCAATCCGGGCGTGACATCGGGACCCGGGCGCCCGGGATATCTCCCTAGCTTTTCGCCGCTTGCGCCTGTATCTCTGGCTCCCAGAGGTGGTGAGCGGGCATGTGATGCGAATTAGAGTCGTAGGTGTTCTGAGAGGAACTTACCACGTGCTCGTTGGCTTCGGCTTCGGCGATGAATTCGTCTATGGCCGCCATTCCAGCCCACGTACTCCGTTGGAGTCGGCCCCGCGTGGTCGCAGTATCAGGCTTCACTGCCTGTGTTCTGCTGATCACAGCTCACAGCAACTGCGTTTGTCCCCGTATGTGGACTAATAGTAGTTACTAAGGAGAAAGAAGCAAGAGAGGTAGGAAACCTCCTGTCTCAGGTAGCTATGGAGAGTGTAGACGTTCCCTGCGTAGTACCGAGTCTGAGGTTGAGAGGGAGAGAGCAGGCAAGGCAAGAAGTACCACATTCTGCCAACAGCAGATGGCTACGGCCGTAGATGACCAGGAATGCATTGGCCGGTATTTTAAGCTGTTACTGCAGGGGTACGTAGTTGGAGGATACGAGTGGTGTGTATACTATGCTGGATTGAGCGTATGGAGGGCTGCGTTGGAACAAATTGCAACAGATATGGAGGGGATAGTGTACCAGGGGTGCGGAGGCGTGTAGGTAGTATGGGGCTTTGGGCAAACACTAGGGTTTTGCTAGGTGGGTACAGGGGTGCTTGGAGTGTGTGTTTTTCCTGTTATTCATGGCACGGGGGGTTGGTAGTGTTTGGTGTGATGGCGGGAGTGCCGTTCTGTGCGTGCGTTTCTGCAGGTTTTGTCTTTTGGCATGATACATGGGAAGCTGCTTTTTTTTTTATGGATGTGGGCAGAGTGCCATATGCTA